TATATATATATATATATATAAAATCTCAATTTATCACTTAGTTATGATCTGATGTACCCACCAAATTCAAATAAATTTGACTCACCCCCCTATCTTCGAATACCCATCTAATTGATCGAATTTCTTTATCTTACAAGGTGTAATCAAACGGTTATAGTGTAATCAAAATTTGTTTACTGTTCTAATGATTCATAACTTTATCAACTGAATCCAATTTAGCAGAACTGAGAATATTCTTGATCACTGTGAAACTAGGGGAGGGGCAGATCTATCGTAACGGTGTTGGGTTCACGTGAATTTTGTAACTTTTGTTCAAATCTTATATTTATATTTAAAAATTTAATAAATATATAAGAATTTTCATTTTGGAATCCAGTCCGTTAGTACGGTTGGCTTTTTAAAGGCAGGGGTAACGTCTGCATACACTCTACCCTCCCCAGACCCAACTTGTGAGACTACACTAAATATGTTGTTGTTGTTTAGTTCGTTATTAATGTCACGACCCTAAACTCGGACCCGGTCGTGATGGCGCCTCTCGTGAAGACAAGGCCAGCCGACACACTTCCAATTCATTTTAAGCAATTAAAATAATAAATATTAAGTCTTTAACAGAATAAAATCCCAAAATAAGGTAAACATTACAGTTTGCGGAATAAAAATATAGCCCGACATCGAGGTGTCACCAGTCATGAGCATCTATAATAATACTACTAGTCTGAAAGGGTCCACACCACTATTACATAACTAAAACAGGAGAAAATAAGATAGAGGGAAAAGCACTTAACTAAAACAGGAGAAAATAAGATAGAGGGAAAAGCACTGGGCTGCGAAAACGCCGAGCAACTACCTAGTGAATCTCCGAAGTCTGCTAAAAGCTCTCAACCCTCGCAAACAGGACCTGTAGCGTCCGAATCTGCACACATGGGTGCAGGGAGTAAAGTGAGTACTCCAACTCAGTGAGTAATAACCATAAATGAAGACTGAGCAATACAAAATCACGTTAAACACAACAATAAGCTATAAGAGGCAGAATAAAATCGGTAAATGCAATTAAATAGTGTAATCTCATAAAGCATCTTTTAAGCGGTTAAACAAACAAAGGAAAAGCAGCTAGAAAACGTACACATAAAAACCGCCCCTCGGGCACAATAACAACCGAATCAGCCCCTTGGGCAATAACATAGAACAATACCAGCCCCTTGGGCTCTATCTTATATCACAATGGGTACCCACGCTCACTTGGGGTGTACAGACTCCGGGAGGGGACCCTTATAGCCCAAACGCAATATCAAGCCATCTCGTGGCATAATCACATAGGCTCTCGGCCTCATATCAACAAGCCACCTTGTGGCGTACAATCTCAGGCCCTCGGCCTCATAATCATAATCAGTATATCACCGCTGCGGTGTGCAGCCCGACCCAAAAGTATCCTCATAACACAGGCCCTCGGCCTTACCCAGTCAGAATCTCATAAGCCACTCGGGCAAAGTAAAACGTGATGCTCAGCTCAAAATATCTTTAAAAATATCATTTAAGGTGTTAAAACAGAGTAAACATGGCTGAGTTATGAAAACAGTAATCTATAGCATGACTGAGTACAAGTATAAAGTCAAAACGGTGAGGAAATGGCAGTAAAAATCCCCTAAGGGTCCAAATAGTTGGCACAAATCCCAAATATGGCATTTAGCCCAAATCATGATAACATCTAGCAATTTGCAACCAAATACGCAGTAAAACAGTCATTCGGGATGGACCAAGTCACAATCCCTAACGGTGCACGACCCCACGCTCGACATCTAGCATGTGCGTCACCTCAACATAGGCTAACGCTGTGTAATCCGGGGTTTCATACCCTCAGGACAATATTTAAAATCACTACTCACCTCAATCCGGCCCAAACTCTAGCTCGCGATGCCTTTGCCCTTAGAATCGGCCTTTGGATGCTCCGAATCTACCAAAATCAGAACGTAACCATCAAAATATGCTAATGGAACAAAGCTCACTCGAAAACGATCGAAAAACAACGAAATTCCTGAAATTATCCAAACCCGTCCCCCGGGGCCATGTCTCGGAATTCGATAAATTTTACATCATTAGACTGCTTATCTCCCCACGAGTTCATACATATCAAAAGTTCTGAAATCCGACCACAAATGGTCCTTCAAATCCTCAATCAAAGGCCTTGGTTTCCAAGCTCTAGTTTCCCCAAATTTAACCCTTAAATTCCATTAATTACAGCCCTAATCCGTGAAATAATACCATAGGAACGAGTTTTTAGGTCCAAAATCCTTACCTCAATGAATTCTCTTTGAAATCCTTCTTCAAATCGCCCAAAAAGCTCCAAGAACCGACTTAGAAATGGTGTCGCGAAGGAAATGACTTATACCTTCTAGCCCAGACATTTCGCATCTGCGGCCCGAAATCCCGCTCCTGCGGTGCCGCTTTTGCGGTCCACGAACCGCATCTGCGGTACACACTTAAGTCGCCCAGTTCTGCATCTGCGATGCATAATCTGCACCTGCGCCATCGCAGGTGCGGCTCCTTGACCGCTTTTGCGGTTCTAGCTGCCCTAGCCCCTTTCTGCTTCTGCGATCACAATCTCGCTTCTGCCAGACCGCACCTGCGGTCCCCTAGCTGCAGGTGCAGTTATGACAGCAATGGGAAACTTCAGGTGTCACAACCAACTCTAAATCTTTTCGCCAACCATCCGAAATCACCCCGAGGTCCCCGGGACCTCAACCAAAAGCACCAACAAGTCTTATACTACCATTCAAACTTATACCAACCTCCAAAACACCTCAAACAACATCAAAACAACCAAAACACATCGAATTCAAGCCTAAGGTTCTAAAATCTTCCGAATTCCGCTTTCGATCAAAAAGTATACCAAACCACGTCCGAATGACCTGAAATTTTGCACACACATCCCAAATGACACAACGGAACTACTGCAACTTCCGGAATTCCATTCCGACCCCAATGTCAAAATCTCACCGATCAACCGGAAAACGCCAAAATCCCACTTTCGCCAATTCAAGCCTAAATCTACTACGGACCTCCAAAACACATTCCGATCACGCTCCTAAGGCACAAATCACCTCCCGAAGCTATCCGAACCTTCAGGATTCACATCCGAGCCCTCTAACACATAAGTCAACATCCGGTTGACTTTTCCAACTTAAGCTTTCTTAAATGAGACTAAGTGGCTCAAACCTTACCAAAACCTTTCCAAACTCGAGCCAACCAACTCGATCACATATAGAACTGATAAACAAAGCAAATAAAAGCAGAAATGGGGAAAACGGAGCGGTAACTCATGAAACGACCAGCCGGGTCGTTACATCCTCCCCCTCTTAAACAAACGTTTGTCCTCGAACGAGTCAAGAAACATACCTGAAGCCTCAAACAGGTGAGGATATCTGCTCCGCATCTCCCGCTCGGTCTCCCAGGTAGCTCCTCCACGGGCCGACCTCTCCACTACACTTTCACTGAAGCTATATCCTTTGATCTCAACTTTCGAACCCGACGCTCCAAAATAGCTGTTGGCTCCACATCATAGGTCAGATCACCCTCTAACTGAACCATGCTGAAATCCAGAACATGAGACGGATCCCCAATATACTTCCGGAGCATGGAAACATGAAATACCGGGTGCACACTCGACAAGCTGGGTGGCAAAGCAAGCTTATAAGCCACCTCCCAATCCTCCGAAGTACCTCAAAAGGCCCAATGAACCAGGACTCAATTTACCCTTCTTTCCAAATCTCATAACACCCTTCATGGGTGAAACCTTCAACAGAACCTTCTCACCAACCATGTAGGACACATCCCGAACCTTTCTGTCAGCATAGCTGTTTTGTCTCGATTGCGCTGTACGAAGCCTCTCCTGAATCACCTTCACCTTGTCTAAAGCATCCTGCACCAAATCCGTACCCAATAGCCTGGCCTCGCCCGGCTCAAACCAACCAACTGGAGATCTACACTGCCTCTCATAGAAAGCCTCATATGGAGCCATCTGAATACTCGACTGGTAACTATTGTTATAAGCAAACTCTGCGAGCGGTAGAAACTGATCCCATGACCCTCCGAAATCAATGACACAAGCGCGTAGCATGTACTCCAATATCTGAATAGTGCTCTCAGACTGCCCGTCCATCTGAGGGTGAAAAGTTATGCTCAACTCAACCTGAGTACCCAACTCGCGCTGTACAGACCTCCAAAATCGTGAAGTAAACTGAGTGCCCCTATCTGAAATGATGGAAACTGGGACACCATACAAACGAACAATCTCCCGGATATAGATCTCTGCCAACCGCTCTGAAGAATAAGTAGTACAGATAGGAATGAAGTGCGCGGACTTGGCCAGCCGATCCACAATCACCCAAATAGCATCGAACTTCTTCAAAGCCCGTCGAAGCCCAACTACAAAGTCCATGGTGATCCACTCCCACTTCCACTTTGGAATATACATTCGCTGAAGCAAGCCACCCAGTCTCTGGTGCTCATATTTAACCTGATGATAATTGAGGCACCGAGCTACAATCCCACAATGTCTTTCTTCATTCTCCTCCACCAATAGTGCTGTCTCAGATCCTGATACATCTTCGCGGCACCCGGATGAGTAGAATACCGCGAGCTATGGGCCTCCTCCAGAATCAACTCCCGAAGCCCATCTACATTGGGCACACATATCCGGCCCTGCATCGTCAACACCCCATCATCATTGATAGTCACATCTCAGGCATCATCATGCTGAACTCTGTCCTTAAGGACAAGCAAATGAGGATCATCATACTGGCGCTCTCTGATGCGCTCATATAAGGAAGACCGAGAAATCACACAAGCCAATACCCGACTGGGCTCCGAAATATCCAACCTCACTAACCGATTGGCCAAGGCCTGAACATCCACTGCAAGAGGTCTCTCCCCAACTGGAATATATGCCAAACTCCCCATACTCACCGCCTTCCGGCTCAAAGCATCGGCCACCATATTGGCCTTCCCCGGGTGATACAAGATAGTAATGTCATAATCCTTTAGCAACTCCAATCACCTCCGCTGCCTCAAATTGAGATCCTTCTGCTTGAATAAGTGCTGGAGGCTACGATGATCAATAAACACCTCACAAGACACACCATACAAATAATGCCTCCAAATCTTCAACGCGTGCATAATGGCGGCCAACTTCAAATCATGAACAGGGTAGTTCTTCTCATGGGGCTTCAACTGACAAGAAGCATAGGCAATTACTCTACCCTCTTGCATCAAAATGCTCCCAATGCCAACTCTCTAAGCATCACAATACACAGTATAAGAACCTGAAACTGATGGAAATACTAACACTGGAGCTGTGGTCAAGGCAGTCTTGAGCTTCTTGAAGCTCTCCTCACACTCGTCAGACCACTGAAATGAAACACCCTTCTGAGTCAACTTGGTCAAGGGCGATGCAATAGATGAAAATCCCTGAACAAACCGACGATAATAACCTGCCAAACCAAGAAAACTGCGAATCTCTATGGCTGAGGACAGTCTGGGCCAACTCTGAACCGCCTCTATCTTCTTCGGGTCAACCTGAATACCATCACTGGACACCACGTGCCCCAAGAAGCCACCGAACTGAGCCAAAACTCACATTTGGAGAACTTTGCATAAAGCTTCTCCTCTCTCAATCTCTGTAACACCTCTCAAATGCTCCACGTCTCCTCCTGACTACGCGAGTATACCAGAATATCATCAATGAAGAATATGACAAACGAGTCGAGATACGGCCGGAACACGCTGTTCATCAAATGCATGAACGCTGTTGGGGCATTGGTCAGTCCGAAAGACATCACCAAGAACTCGTAATGACCATATCGGGTTCTGAAAGCTATCTTAAGAATATGTGAGTCCCTGATCTTCAACTGGTGATAACCTGAACGGAGATCAATCTTGGAGAACACTCTCGCTCCCTGAAGCTGGTCAAACAAATCATCGATACGAGGCAAGGGATACTTGTTCTTAATTGTTACTTTGTTCAACTGCCTGTAATCAAGGCTGATTCTCATCGTGCCATCCTTCTTCTTCACAAAAAGAACCGACGCACCCCAATGTGACACACTAGGACGAATGAACCCCTTGTCAAGGAGTTCCTGAAGCTGCTCCTTTTAACTCATTCAACTCTGCTGGTGCCATACGATACGGTGGAAAAGAAATGGGCTGAGTGCCCGAAACCAGATCAATACCAAAATTAATATCCCTGTCCGGTGGCATGCCCGGGAGGTCTGCAGGAAACACATCAGGAAAATCCCTCACAACTGGAACAGAATCAATACTGGGAGTCTCTGCACTAACATCCCTTACAAATGTTAAGTATGAAAGAAAACCTTTCCCAACCATACGCTGGGCCTTCAAGAATGATATTACCCTGCTGGGAACATAATCAGACAGACCACGCCACTCAATTCGTGGCACACCCGGCATAGCTAATGTCACTGTCTTGGCATGACAGTCTAGAATAGCCCGGCACGGAGATAACCAGTCTATGCCCAATATAACATCAAAGTCCACCATGCATAACAACAATAGATCCACTCGGGTCTCCATACCCCCAATAGACACAACACACGACCGGTACACACGGTCTACCACAACAGTATCGTCCACCAGCGTAGAGACATGAATAGAAGAAACTAGGGACTCGAAGGGCGTATCCAAATAATGGGCAAAATAAGACGACACATAAGAGAAATTAGAGCCGGGGTCAAATAACACAGAAGCATCTCTGCGGCAGACCGAGATAATACCTGTAATCACCGCGTCTGAAGCAATCGCATCAGTGTTGATACCCAATTTTCCCCCGTATATTTTTATATGCAAAATACTTTCAAAATAGTATATATATGCATACATAAGCATGTCCAAGTCTTTTATTTTTTTTTCCAATTTTTAAAAGATTTATTGAACCAATTTATTGCCCCATTTTAGCAGTACAAAAACCAATAATTATTCCCAAATTATCCTTTTGGTGATTCAGTTATTGTATTTTCATATTTATACCGATACATAGCTAAGGTAATTTTTTGCACATTTTTTATAAATTGATTTGGTATTTTTTAAAGCTAAATTGCACTAAATTGCAATTTTAGCCTATTTTAAGAATTAATTGCGTTTGTAATCACAAATTTGATTCCAGTATTTTCAATCTAATATTTATATACTATTAATTAATTAGAACCTTCAATTTGTTTTCCGAAATCATTTTACTATTTTTATTAAATAAAAAAGGGAAAAGTGGCTATTTAAAAGTTAGCCCCATTTCATTTATATTTTAGCCAAAATTAGCCCCCCCTAATTAACCCTATTTCCATCTCAAACGGGACCAGCCCAATTTCTAAATTACCCGACCCCAAACCTGTTAATAAAACCCGCCCGGCTCCCCTTTTGATCCAGGCCGTTGATCATTTTGATCAACGGTCATAATTACCCCTTTCCTTTTTAATTTCCCAAACACCCTAACCCTAATCACTTTCACCTAATCAGCCGCCT